TCACACCGGAGCCAGAGGGCCCGGGCTCTGTGAGCCGCCGCGGCTCTGCTGGAGGAGGGCCTTCCCCCGCTCAGCCCTGCCCGGCCAGCAGGTCAGGGACCAGGGATGACAGGGACAGGCCGAGGGAAGGGCGGGGAGGAGCGGGCAGAGCAGGTGGGTGGAGGTGGGAAGGAGCAGACCCACCAACGCCCCGGTCTCAGAAAGGGGACCCGGGAGGGAGCCGGGGTGAGAAGCGGACTGGGCACCGGGCAGGCCCTCCAGGCCCTGTTAGAGGGCTCGCACTTGGTCTTGAAGACGGGGGAGGGGTCACATGAGACGTTTTCCTGGGTAGCCAGCCAGGCCCTCCACGCTGCTGCTCGGGAAGACCATCCTCACTCTGTCCGAGGAAGAAAGAGGGTCCCCGCCCACCACCCGCAGGGCCTGACCCAGGTGTGGGCTGTCTCCGGAGCAGGGTGGTGTGGGGACCGTGTTGTCACCAGCAGCCAGGAAGAGTCTGCTGTTCAGAAGCCCACCCCTTCCTCTCCCCCGGAATCTTAGCCTTACCCCGGGTCGGTTTCCTGGGCCCCCATGTTTGAGCCACCCCAGGCCTCGGTGGACACCCCCCAAGGTGCTCCCCAACCTCTTTACCCAACCCCTCACCCTCCGGGTTAATTTAGCCAGTGAGGGGAGCAAGCAGTGTGCATGGGTTGGGGGAGGGGGGCAGATGGTGGCCTAGGACAGTGGCATCGAGGCCGCTGGACGGGGATCTGCTGGGCTGGAGGCCGAACCCTCAGACCTTCAGCATCTTCAGCTGTAAAATGGGGTCGACCTGCCTCTCCCATAACCCCTAACCCCTAACCTATAACCCACAACCCTTAACCCATAACCCACAACCCACAACCCCTAACCCACAACCCACAACCCACAACCCGTAACCCACAAGGAAGCTCAGATCTACAGAAGTCAGTTCCCGGGTGTTCCCTGCCCTGCCCTCCCCTCCCCCTCCCACCCCCATCCTGACTTCACTGCACTGTGAACCTGGGGAGCAGGCTGACTTCTGAGGCAGCTGCCCTCCTGCTGGCCTGACTTGGGGTGCAGTCCAGAGGGTCGATTGGGTGAGAGGGCACAGGACTATTAGTTTGGGGTTTTGTTTGGCTGCTTTTTTTGTTGTTTCCCTTTCACTTCCCTGGTGCGGCCCCCCCCACCACCACCCCACCCCCAACCCACCTGGTGTCCCTCCAGGATTCTCCCTGGCCGTCTCTGCTGCAGCGGAGCCTCACCCAAGCCTGGGCAGGCGTCCTGGACTCTCAGCATCTCACAGACGCTCCGGTATGAGCAGAACAGAGACTGCCTGCGGAGGAAGTAGTTCACCTTCCCACCCTCCCCAAACCTGTAGCGGACACACCCTGAGAGGCTCCAGGGAGCTGCTGGAGGCCCTTTGGGGAGCAAGGACTGAAGCTTCAGTCCAACCCGGAACCCCTAATTCTGACCTCCACCTGCTGCCCCCCTGCACCTGCCAGCCCGAGCGCTGGGCCATGATCAAATGTCACATGGCTCCTTGTGTCTTCCGTCCTGAAAGTCAGTGAGAGATTAAATGAGATGAAACCTGTCTTGCCCCACTCAGCCCCTGGCCCATCCTCCGATGGACCTGGCCCTTGTCGCCCCCAGGAATCCAGTTTTACAGACCTCACGGCAGACTGTGTGCACTGATCGAATAAACACAGCACACCTTCTCTCGCATTTACATGTGTTTAATGGTCCAGTTTCACACCAGCCCGATTGCACTCTTGCACCTGTGTGCACCCGGCACCTCCACGTGTCGGGCCCGGACCCTGGGACGACGGGGTGGCCGGCTCCGGGAGCTGGGTCTTGAAAGGAAGACAGATGGCATTTGTTCACAGAGTTCTGCCTTCCAAAGGGTCATATCCCGATTTGGGCGCCAAACGGGGCCATTCCGCATTCCTTCTGGTTTCCGGACCAGGAGCGATGGCTGAAACGCTTTTTCTTTTTTCTTTCCTTTCCGGTGCCAAGAGCCTTGCCTCCCACAGCCAAGCCCTGGCCCGCCCGGCACAAGGACACTGCTCTCCTTGGCAGGCTGGCCCAGATGCGGGCTGAATGTGCGCAGGAACTTGGGGAAGGGGAAGGCGAGGACGGAAAAGAAAGGCCCGGAGGGACCTGGAAAGCGGTGGGAGGTCTGAGCCCTTGGAGCCCCGAGAGAGCCTGCCCGCCCGCTGTTTGGCACAAGCTCCTCCAGGGCTGCCTGGCGGCTGAGCAAAGGCCGGCCTCCACACGCACCCAGCCTTTTGTGGAAGTGAAACACAAAGGAGAGGCAAAAACACCTCTTCTGTTTTGACGGAGGAGGCTGACAACTCCAGGAAGCCTGGGCCAGCCAGGAACTCCCACAGCCGGGCGATTGGCCTCTGCAAGCGAGCGCTCCATTTCGCTCTAAAGGGCTGCGTCCCAGCTGCTTCTCCAGGGTGGGAACGGAGGTGGCTGAGACCCTCCCAGGACGTGCTCACCAGCCGCTGGGCCCCAGACCTGGACCAGTGCGGGAGGGGATGCGCCTTGGCTGGGCTCCAGTTTCCGATTATTCCTGGTGGGGGTTAGGAGGACTCGGAGACAGAGTTTTGTCCAGGGACCCATTTGCCCCCGCGCCAAAGGAACCCAGGGAGTCACGGCCAGCCCCCACCTCCCAGGCAACTCTCTGCCAACCGAAGGGTGTTGTTGGGGAAGACTGCCAAGAGAAGGGGCCTGCGGCAGGGGCTGCCGTCCAGAGCTCCGGGTGTGGGGAGTGAGGACTGCGAGGTGCCTGTGCACAGACTCAGAAAAGCCGCCACCGCCTCCTAGGCTGGGAGGCACGGGGCTGGGCCCTGTCCTTATGGGCATCTACTCGGGAACCTGGGGCCAGTGCTCCTGCCTCGGGTCTTCAACTCTAAAGTTATGCTCTTTCAGGACAGGCCCCGGCCCCTGCTTCCAACTTCACGAACTGGAGCAAGTGCATAAAGAACCTCAGACCGGGCCCTCCCAGCGGACCTCGAGACGCAGGCTGGTCACCCAGGGCAAGCGACAAAAGAAGGAATTCGGGATCGGCGACACGTGCCGCCAGCCGGCTGGACTAACCTGGGCGGAGGAAGCCCAGCGCGCGCACGCTGCGCCTGCTGGTGTTTATTGGGTACACGGGTTTGCGCTCAAGTCCAGCCCCGGCTGGTGGCCCAATGCACACCCCCCTCCACTAATGTCCTCACTGCGGGTGGCCCCTGAGGCCCAAAGGAATGATCCTCAAAGAGACGAGCTCGCCTGCTCCCCACCCCCGCTCTCCGCGTTCCTTGCCGTGACAGATTATCCTAATTGAACGGTTATGGGTCATCCTTCTAAACCGTTAGCAGACATATCCCCACGCTTCAGTTCTTCGTGTATTAAATACATATTTAACGGATGGATGAAGAGCCAGCTGGGAAACACGCTGGTTAGAAAAGCTGCTCCAGAAGGCCAGGGGCTGGCGCCGAGGCCAGAGCCTGGGCTTTCTAGCCTAGCCTCCCCGGGCACCTGAGAGCAAGCTTGTCCGCTGTGTATGTGTTTTGTAACTTTGCTAACTTGAAGGCAAATTGCTTACTATGTTTATTTGTTTGCTTGCTTTTTAAAAAGCTTTACATGCCAATTAAAAGTTCCCAGGCAGCGGAAGTAGCTAGAGGGCGGCAACATTCTGCAGGCCTGTTTGTGAGGGTGCAGCGTCAGGGCCTGGGGCCTGCGCCCTGCAGAAACACGCTTCTGTGGCGGAGGTGCGGGCGTGAGAAAATCGGCCCCGGGAACCGGCGGGAGACCCGCGGCTGCAAGCAGCCGCCAGGCCCGGCAGCGCCGCCGGTAAAGCGTCAGCAGCGCTTTCTGTCAGACACACTCTCTCGGTTTCCCATCTCCAAGACGGGTAAATGCGCCAGTACCTCTGACGACCTCCGGCGCTTCTCTAGACGGCGTTTAGCTCGTCCTGGTCACGGGTGTCCGTGTCTGGGAGCCAGGCTGCGGCTGGTGGAACGCGCAGCAGGGACGCGGCCGCGAGCGGTGGGTTCCTGCCGCCCGTTCCTCCGCGCGCGGAAGTCTGCGCCCGGGCCTGAGGCCTCTCTCTGTAGCGGCGCTGCCCATACCCGAGGTCGCGGTGAGGACCACCGAGCTGGCGCCGAAAACGCCGCGCTAAAAAAACGGAGGGCCGGTTGCCGGGTGTGCTCAACTCCGGGTTGGCCTCTGCCCTGGAGGAGCGCGGCTCAGCGCGGAAAGAACGCGTCCCCGGGCTACGCCGCCGTTGGAGGCGCCCCCTCCCTCCTTCCTTCCTTCCACGCCCTGTGCCTCGCAAGACCCTGACACCAGCTGGGGGCGCTCCGGGCCGCCGCCTAGATGCGCGCTTGGAGTAGAAGGCAGTAGCCGCTTTGTGCAGGCGTCTGGTTTACAGGGGCTGCAGGGCTGACGTTTTGATGCAACTCACGGCGGGGAACCAAGTGGGGGGCGGAGATGAGAGAGAGAGACCGTAGCCCCAGCGCGCATCCCCACAGATCTGACCGCGCCGGGTACCGGGTCAGTTTGCGGAGCGCCCAGCCCGTCCCCCAGCCTGACCCGCTGGCCACCGTCTTTTCAAACAAATTTGACGACGTTCCCTCTCGCGCGGTCCCAACGGCGACGGGCCCTCGGCACTTCCCCCGCGAGCCCGCGCCCCACCCCCGTCGCCGCTCACACCCCTCCCCCGGCCCCTCCCCCGCCCCTCCCCCGGCTCCTCCCCTAGAACCTCCGCCGCGGACGCCCATTGGCTGTGCGCCGGGAGGCGGCGAGTGCCCGGCGCCGCGAGTTTCATTGAGCGGACTTAGCCCGGATGACATCAGCTTCCCAGCCACCCCCCCTCGGGCCCTGCTCATTGGCGCTGCCGCCCCTCCAGGACCCGCACATTGTTCCCCGCCCCCGCTTCGGCCACCACCGCTGCGGTCGCCGCCGCGGCCGGACTATAAAAACCGGCCGAGCCCGGAAAGGTGCGGATGCTTATTATAAGACCGCCGCGACCTCCGCGCCTGGAGTCCGGGTCTCTACGGCGGCTTCTGGGAAGGAGCTCCTCCGGCTGCATCCGCAGTAAGTGTCCCCGCCCCCCGCAGCCCCAGCCCACACCCCCCAAGGCAGACGCCCCTCAACTCCGCTGCGACCCCGGACGCTCCGATAGAGGGTCCCCGAGCCCGCCCCTGCCCGCCAGCTCGCTGCAGCGCGTTCACTGCTCTGCTCCAGCTCGCACGGCCCGCAGCGTCCTCTTCGCCCCCGAACCAGAAGTCGGGGCGACCACAGCTCCTTCTGCCCAAGTCCTAGTCAGCGGGCCAGCTCTCCGCCCCGCCGGGGCGCAGCGCACGGAGTCTGGGTCCCGTGCGGGCGCTGGGAGCGCGGGTGCGCTGGTGCTGGCTCTGCTGCGTCGATGGAGATAAGGTGGACGCGTTTGAGGAACCAAAATAAATACTTCTCTATTTAGATCTCATGCTCCCCAAAGAAAAAACTTCACTTGCCGCTTGTTTACTCCAGCCCTGGAGACGCAGCCTCCCCATTCCTAGCTGAGGGCGCAAAGCCTTCTGAATGCCACCCTCGCTGAGGGACATGGGGCGCTCCCTGGAGTGAAACAACCTGTGGATGAGAGCGGAGGGGAGGCTGTGGGGGAGGGAAGGAGCGATTTCTTCTGCGCACCTGCGCGCCCCTAGCAGGAAGGCCAGAGAAGGTGCGGTGGACGCGGGGCGACCAGCCGTGCTGGCCGAGCCTGGACCCCGCGCTGCCGCGCAGGTGGAGCGCTTTGCCCTCTCACTGACTTCTCGTATTCGAGCTCTCTCCTGTTCCTCCTCTCCGTAGGAGGCGTGCGTGGAAGCTCGGAGGGCCGAGGGAGGGAGGACCCTGCGAGAGCCGCGACTCCCACTGGGGCCATGGACTCGGACGCCAGCCTGGTGTCCAGCCGCCCGTCGTCGCCGGAGCCCGATGACCTTTTTCTGCCGGCCCGGAGCAAGGGCAGCGGAGGCGGCGGCTTCACAGGAGGCACCGTGTCCTCGTCCACGCCGAACGACTGCCCGCCGGAGCTGAGCGCCGAGCTGCGCGGCGCCATGGGCGCGGCGGGCGTGCACCCCGGGGACAAGCTGAGCGGCGGCGGCGGCTTCAAGTCGTCCTCGTCCAGCACCTCGTCGTCCACGTCGGCGGCGGCCGCGTCGTCCACCAAGAAGGACAAGAAGCAGATGACAGAGCCCGAGCTGCAGCAGCTGCGCCTCAAGATCAACAGCCGCGAGCGCAAGCGCATGCACGACCTGAACATCGCCATGGACGGGCTGCGCGAGGTCATGCCTTACGCCCACGGCCCGTCCGTGCGCAAGCTCTCCAAGATCGCCACGCTGCTGCTGGCGCGCAACTACATCCTCATGCTCACCAACTCGCTGGAGGAGATGAAGCGGCTGGTGAGCGAGATCTACGGCGGGCACCACGCCGGCTTCCACCCCTCCACCTGCGGCGGCCTGGCCCACTCCGCGCCCCTGCCCGGCGCCACCGCACACCCCGCGGCCGCCGCGCACGCCGCGCACCACCCCGCCGTGCACCACCCTATCCTGCCTCCCGCTGCCGCCGCTGCGGCTGCGGCTGCGGCGGCCGCCGCGGTGTCCAGCGCCTCCTTGCCGGGCTCCGGGTTGTCGTCTGTCGGCTCCATCCGGCACCCGCACGGCCTGCTCAAGTCTCCGTCCGCTGCCGCGGCGGCCCCGCTGGGGGCCGGGGGCGGCGGCGGCGGGGGCGGCGGCGGCTTCCAGCACTGGGGCGGCATGCCCTGTCCCTGCAGCGTGTGCCAGGTGCCGCCGCCGCCGCACCACCACGTGTCGGCCATGGGCGCGGGCAGCCTGCCGCGCCTCACCTCCGACGCCAAGTGAGCCGGCGAGGGCCGGCGCGTTCTGGAGAGCGAGGGGCCGGAGGCTGCGGGGAATCGAGGGCAGACCGGCGCTGGGCCTGGGGGCTCAGTTCCGAGGAGGAGCACAGGACCTTGGGCCGGGGGTGGGGTCGCTGGTGCGTGCGGACTCCACGCTCTCTGGAGCGCACTCAGCGGCGGGGGAGGGAGAGGGACATTCGCTCCGGGACCTGGTTGAGCCCTCTCTGGCTTTACACAGCGCGGGTCCCGGAGACACCAGTTAATCAGAAGGCACCGCTAAGTGCGCCCCTCCCCCAACACCACCTCTTCCCCCAAAAGAAATTATTCTAAGAGCCGGTTTCCCAGGAAACTCGGCCTCACTCCGCCTGGGCTGCGCATGGTTACATGGGGAAGGGTGTTGAGGACTTCCTCCCCTCCTTTCTGGGCCGGTTGGGGACTTCGGAGAGCGGCACCCCGGGACCCCGGCCCGCAGGCTCGCCCGGGGTCGTCTCTGACCCGGGCCAGGGCTACGAGTCCGTTGGAAGCGGGCGTTCCGTACCAGAAGCACTTACGGTGGCGGCCAGTCGCGGACCCCCGCCAACCGACCACCCTCCGAGAGCTGCGGCGGGCCCGCCCTGTGGCTCCTGTCGGTGTGCGGTCCGCGACTCGTTTTCAACGACAGGAACGAGCTGTATAGCGGTCGGAACAGAACCACCTGTGGATCGAAAGAACCTGACACTGTCGACGCGGGGGGACGCTTTTTAAAAATCATTTTAAAATGACCCCCCAGCCTTGTTCCCGTCTCTGAGCACCAAGCGGTCGGGTTCCGGGCGGATCGGGGGCAGTCTGGGTGCCCGAGGGTTTGACGGGATCGCGGTCTGCTGCTGGGACTGTAGCCCGGGTTACTGGGGGATCCCGTCGGCTTTTTGGTTTTTTCTCTTGGATGTGTAAATACAATCTCAGTAACGAGGGACGCGCGTGCTGCCGCCCCGAGGCTCACGGGACCGCCAGCCCGACCGGAGTCTGAGCCCGGTGTCCTCTCCATCGGTTCCTTTTCGCCACTTTTAACACAAACGACAAACTCTTCCCACGAGCTCCTGCGCCCCCGCAAACGCCTCCGCGCCGCCAGCGTTGCGATTCGGCTCCACCGCGTCCGCCACGTAACATCCCTCCTCTGATCGCTGCCCCTCGCAGAGAGTGTATCATCTGTTTTATTTTTGTAAAAAGAAAAAAGTGCTAAATAATATTTATTACCTGTTTGGTTGAAAAAAAAACAACAACGAAATACATGATCGAGTGTTGCGATTTTAAATAAAAGTTAAAGTAAATGGGGTGTTTTCCAGCCGCGAGGGAGGGAGAAAGTGCGGGGCGGGGGAGGTGCGCAGTTCCGCGGGTGCGGGGTGGGGTCCCCTGGTTTCCTCCCTGGAACCGAAAGGGGCCAGCCGGCCGCCTCCCTCCTCCAGCCGCGCCTCCCTCCTCCACATTTCGTGCGGTGTCCCCGCTGCTCACTCGTTATTTTTAGTTTCTGGCGTCCAACCCGGAACTCCCTTCCTCTTCGTTGAGGACGGAGTTAGTGGAAAGTGGGGTTTTCGCTCCCTGCGCGGGGCTCTTGGGCCGTGGGGCGAGGGCCGGTGCCTTTGGTGCGGGCTCCCGGCGCCCGGACCTCCTGCCCTCCGGCGGCTGCGGACCAGCCAGGTGGGGTGCCAGGGCCCCAGCTTTTCGTGCGGGACCCACTCGCCCTTCATCCCTTCCCCGTGGTGTGTTGGACTCTCGCTCACGCCAACCTTGGCCTTGGACTGAAATGTGTCCTGTGCTGGTAACACCCCGGACCACCTCTTTTCTTGCCGCCACTGGGCTTCTGCACCCCCGCAAGTGCAGCACAAGTTCAGGATGCGGCCCTGAAGGGGCCTCTGGGTGGAAATAAAGACGCTGCTGCCGGAGAAGAGCCCGGGCGCGCTTCAGCCTGTGGCGGCGGGAGAACGCCGGCCCTGGGAAGCCCCCAGCCAGCCCGGTGCCCCGCCGGGCCCTGGGCCCTCTCCACCACCACAGCGCTGGGGGCCACCAGGCGAAGCCTCCTGCACCTGCAGTGCCTGGGGGGGGGGGGAACAGGTTTTCCTGGTCAGAGCCCCATTTCCTGAGGTCGCCTGAGCCAGGCTCACACGGGCCTCCAGTGTGCAGGATGGAAGGCGGCGGCTCCCTCCCCCAGATCCGGGCGGGTGCTTGGCGGGCGGGCAACAGGTGAGTCCTGCTGCCCGCCAGAGCTGCGGGTGCCCCGGGATCGGAGGCTGGGGGCCTCGCACGGCTTTCCTTTTCAGCGCAGAGCCCCAGAGGCTGGGGTGGGGGTGGGATGAGGGGCCAGGGAGCCAAGTGCATGGGGAGGAATCCCAGAAGAGATAGGGCAGGACCTAACACTTGTATTCCCAAGTCCCATTTGAGACAAAACTTGATGAGAATTCAGAACTGGGTTTGGCCCCCGTCGCGGACACAGGGGAAGAAAAGGGTGGAACTGGGTGGGGTGGGTGGGGGTGGAGGGCGAAGTCACAACTTCCTTCACCCACTCAGGGCTCTGCCAGGGCTTGGCCAGAGCTGGGGCGTGCGTGGTGTGTGCATACAGGTGCCTCTGTTCTGAGCAAAAAAATGAAGCACCTGCCGCCACCACCACCACCACCACCACCACCAAACTCTCAGCAGCGACCAGTCGGGAGAGGCCAGGACCTCCGAGGAAAGAGGGGCCAGTCCCCGGAGCCGCCCGCCCCCACTTACACTGAGCGCCCAGCAGGGATCTTGGTGGCCACGAGTGACCCACAGTTGTCCTTGGATGCTGAGGTCGAGCCTGCTGGGCCTCCTGGGGCAGGGGGTCCTAGCTGAGGGGGGCCCTGGATTGGGGGGGGCAGGGTAGAGGGCGCAGGCCCGCAGCTGGGCTGCGGGTGAGGAGTCAGAGAAGACCCTGTGCGGCCACTTCGATGTCTGAGGGCCAGGAATTGGGGGCGACCCCCCAGTGAGAAAGGGGAAGCGACAAGGTCTTCAGGGTGGTCCGTGGGGTCCCTCCCTGGGACCCTCAGCTCCGAGCTGTCTCTCTCACTGGGCCGCAGCTCCCCTGCCCCCAACATGCTCCTGGGTCCCCAGCTCCCAGCGCAGGCAGGCGGGGACTTCTGTCAACTAGCCCCCGGGGTCTGTGAGATTATCCCCAAACCACCCAGCCCCACCTCTCTGAGCTGGGCCGCCTGGAGCTGCAGGGGCAGAGCTTCTGGCACAGCCTCAGCGTCCTCGGCTCCTAGTGCCCTCACCGGGCAGAAGTCGCCGAGAAGTGACGATGAGCTAGGCTCAGTTTTGGACAGTGAGGCAGAGTCCCCAGGCGCTGGTGCTAGAAGCCCACGTCTCAGGGACAGGCAGGGAGTGTCAGGCCCTCAGACCCCATGCGCTCGAACAGGTGGCTGAGACCTGGTGGTGCCACCTGAGAGCGAGGCCACGTGGCCTTGGAAAACTGAGGTGTCAAGGACTCCAGGAGGGTCTGGGACTGGGCAGTGCCACAGGCAGGGCTGTCCTCACCGCCAGACTCAGCCATGAACAACCAGGGGCTTTGGGAAGCCCCCCAGAGGCTCCCAGTGCTGGGGAACTGCTGCCTGCCCCCCCTAAGGCAGAACCCATCAGCAACCACCCGAACTCCCCCGCTGGTGCCCCCTGGACGTTCGTCTAAGGCAGCGATTGGCAACCTGAGCCTCCAGCATCTTCAAAACTCGCTGTGCCTGACCGTCCAGTCGGGGGCATGGGCCTCTTCCCTTGGGTCGCCCAGTTTAAAGGGGACAGCAACCAGCACAATGGCCATCCCGGGTACATGGAACAGAATTATACCTATTTGGTCAGGTCTGCAAAAATATGCATTTGGTGTGCTGCAGAATGTTAGCAATCGGCTTACTTGTGCCCTGAGGTGAGAAAGGTGGACCATGGTTGATCTGGGTGAAGGAGCCCCCCCAAGCCCCCCCCCACCCACCTCGCATTTTAAGGCCCTGTGTATTGCGGACTTTGAAACAAGTTCCCCATCCACACAGGGTTATCAGTAGGTGTTATGAGGTCTTTGACAAGGGACCTATGCCAGGGGTCTGTGATACCCTGCTGATGACAGATGCCCTCAGTCACTGCACACCTGTATGGAGGGCCGTGCACAAGCCGGCGGGTGCCGCGGTGATTCCCGCCACCCCTCCCCGCAGGGCACCTGCGGAGTTTCGGGGCTGCAGACGCAGCCTAGGCGTAGGCACCTAGGCCCACCCTGGGGATGAGCGCCGTCCCTGTCAGTGCTGGTCCCTCTAGGCCGGGCAGAGAGGGGAGTCGCTCCTCTCTCACATCCCCAAGGCCCAGGCCCTCTCTCTTAGGGGCGGCATTTTTCCTGTGGGGCCAAGGGGATCAGCCGCGGGTTGATGGCGGGGAGGAGAAGCTGTGGTGGGAATGAGGGTGCGGGGAACAGGGGCTGGGGGGCAGCCCAGCTTGCCGGGGGGGGGGAGTTCAGGAATCTAGTGACCCAGGGGGAGGCGCTGGCAATTCCTGGCTGCTAGGGCCCCGCGCAAGGTCTGTGTATGCCGCTGCTTCCTTCCTCGTCCTCAGGGCAGCGGCAGCGCTGGGACGAGGTTGCCACTATTATTCCACTTTGCAGGCCAGGCAACCCAGGCACTGAAGGAGCATGGGACTTGCCCCCGCCAGGGCCAGGAAACTCGGGCGACGAGGTTGTAGCCCCGGGGTCTGATTCCAGCGCCCGCACCCAAGGTCTCACACCCTTACACGGGTCCCCCTGTGCCCCGCAGGCACCGGACTCCGGCTCAGCCGCCACCCTCGGTGACACTCCTCCTGCTCCCCCTTGACGTCTGGACCTGTTCTGTCTCCAACTCGCGGGGCTGGGCGGCGGGCGGCACCGATAGGCATTGGTAATGAGCGGGTGTGGCCGCTCCCTCGGGCAGAGGAGGGGCCAGGGCTGGGGCTCTGGGGGGTGGTGAGGTGAGGAACTATGGCTGGTGCCGGGACGTGTGCTCCGTCACCAGCCCGCCGGCCGACCCCTGCCCGCACTCCACGCAGGAATCCAGAAAGGAGCCTCAAGCCTTGGACCCTCAAGCCTTCTGTCTGCAGGGTCCAGGCCGACCCCCCCCCGCAGGGCCCCCTCAGGACCAGGCCAGGACTCGGTGGGAGCGCAGGGAGCTGGGAGTGCGCTCTCCAAACAGGGAGCTTCGGGCCCGGTTTACACCACACCGTGGGCCCCCCAGACATCATGCCACTGGGCCGACTTGGGCCTTGGGCTTCCAGTTTGCAAGGCCTGGAAATGGCGCGGTTGACCAGAACCACCTAGAGGGGCACCAGGTTGGAAGGCCGCGTCCTTACTGGGGTTTCTGGGGCCATGTGGCTGTTCTCGGGGAACGGACTTCCTGGGTGAATTCGCCCCGACCTGGGCGCCGCTGTCCTGGGTGCCCTGGCTTCCCAGATCCTGCGCAGACAGAAGGCACGTGGGCACGGACGCCAGCCCCCATCCGCGGGGACAGATTGCAGCAGCTGCTTGCACTGTGGTGAGTGGCTTTCCTCCGGGAAGCTTTTAGCCCTGCGGCAGCTGCATGGCCTGAGCCCACACGTTGTGGGAGGACTTGGGGGTCTGTGACAGGGAGACCTGCAAACCCCACTGGAAGTGCCAGAGTTTGCGTGGGGGCCCCAGCCACTTCCCGGGGAGCCCCTGGTTCACTGATCCCTGCCAGGCCCTCGCACACAGGTCCATACACCGGAGCTCCCAAGTGGACCCGCCTCCGGGAGCCTTGGACCGCAAAGCAGTGGCCTGGGTCAGTCCGGAAGCCACTGGGGGCCTGCTGGGCCCTGGAGCCTGGGTGAACCAACCATCAGAGGCCTGGGGCAGCTGGCTCACCCTCCCCTTCCTTGGCCGACCCCTTCCTTCTAGGTCCAACAAAGGCGGCTGCCTCCTGGGTCTGTGGCCCTGTGGCCCTGTGGCCCTGTGGCCCTGTGCTGTCCTCCCGGCCGAGTCCTCTCCCTGAGCCCCAGTCCTGAAGCTCTGAGTGCCTGGGTGACCACAGGGTCGGCTTCCTCCTCAAACACAAATCTTCTGGTCAGTAGAGGCTTGTCTTGCAGAGCAGGGCTGGAGTGGTCTCTCAGCGGCTACCTGGGCTCTCTCCAGCCTCAGTTTCCTCATCCAGGACAGGTGATCACCCAAGACCAGAGCTGGGTCAGGCTCTGTCTGGGGACTGA